ATCCAAGTTTTATGGCATTAAGTTATCCAATTTTATTCCCATACGGAGAAGATGGATACAAAATTGACATTGATCATAGAGTTCTGGAGAACAAAAAATCTTCTAAGGGAAAAAGATTAACAATGAGACAATTTTATGCGTTTCGATTACACTATAGAGTAAATGAAGGTCATACTCTAATGAAATCTGGCAAATTGCTGCAACAATATATTGTAGATGCATATATGGCTATCGAAGAAGAAAGGTTTCATTGGATTAGAAATTAAAAAAAAATTAAAAAGTGATTTGTACAATGGATTGATGGATGCTGTTTCAAATGGAGATGTGAATCCACAACATATGGGCAAATCTACATTTTTGCCATCCTCTCATACTGGCCGTCCCCGATATCGTGTTCAAAATTATCAAGATGCTATGACAATTTGCAGGACTTCTAGATATCCTGATATTTTTTTGACAGTCACATGTAATCCAAAATGGCCAAAAATTCAGTATATACAAAATGCTATTTGGCATTGTGATGAAGAAGGCAGAGTAACTGCAGTGTGTTTGAGATAAAATTACTTGAATTGATGAGAGAAATAAAACACGAGAAATATTTTGGTGAGACTGAAGCAAGTAAGTACTTTGATGAATAACATGTGCATTCTATTGAAAATAAATACTGTAATGACTTCTTTCTACTAGTACTTTAGAATATATGCAATAAAAACATACATACTTAGCATATGAACGTAGTTGGGTCCAAATTTTTCTTTACTTATAAAATATAATTCTTTATATATACTAAAATAACAAGTACAAAAACGTAGCAACGGTGGACAGTAATGCCAATTCTCTCCACTTGACGACTCCCTTCCGACCACTGCTCACCTATTTCCTACAAAAACATGAAAAAACAACGGGGTGAGCATAAAAATGCTCAGTAAGTAAATCCTTTAACTCTTCTCCTTCTTTGATTCGTTCCTTACTTAATTCTTTTCTTCTTTCTTTCATTCTTAGTTCTTTCTCTTTTCTTTCTCCGTTTCTAATTCTTAATGTTTTTTCTTTCTTCCTAATTCTCGCTATTCTTTCCTTCTCTTTGTTCTTTCTTTCTATTCTTTTTTTTTCTATTCTTTCTAACCATGATGGAATTCATGGTAATACGCATGAAATGCATATGCAATAATGCAAAAATGCATTTTCTTTCTTCTTTCTTCTCTATATTTCTTTTCTTTCTTATCTTGCTTGCTCAAGCTTCTCTTTTCTTTCTTACTCTGGTTCTTTCTTATTCTTTATTTTCTTGTTCTTTCTTTTCTTATTCTTTGCTAATCGGTCTTGGTTGATACATGGATTTGGAACCTTGGTCGTGTGAGTGAGTACAGTCCTTATCTATATGCACTCTTGTGAACCATACAAATTATTTCTTTCTTTTTAGGCCACTCAATTAAGGTAGCGTGCATGCAGGAATTCTTCTTGGTACAACCCTCATCCATATACACTCTTACGAGTCGTACAATTCTTCTTCTTCTTATACCACTCAATTAAGGTGGCATGTATGTGAGAATTTCTTCTTAGCACTCATGGTTCCCCATCACACAACCTATTCTTTTCTCTTCTTTAATGTTTTTCTTTTTTTAATTCTTTAATGCTTATTCTTTCTTTCTCTTTATTCTTAAAGTGTTTTATTCTTAAAGTTCTTTATTCTTTCTTAAGTTATTACACAAATACAAATATATGCATATGGATGACTCATGCTTAGAATTCTTACTTAAATGCACCCATGAAATGCAAATATGCAATGTTGCATAAAATTAAAGTTTCTACTCATACTCATACTTCTTTTAAGCATTTCATTGTGCATATACAAACTTTACTTTAATTATAATTCTCTTTGTTTCTTAAACCATCCAAAATGAGAGCAAAACTCCTATGTATCCTCATTATCTTTACACGGCAAAACACTCCCAAAATTCTTCCAATTCCAACCGAATTTCAATCCATCATCATACAATCAAAAACACTTCTCATACATCAATATATCCAACAACAAGCACAAATAATCATCCATCTCATCTCAATTTCTTAACAATCATAACATATACATGCTTGAAGAAATCTCTACTTAATTGATTTCTTAAACCTTAACTTAAGTTGGAGTTTGAGTGGAATTTACTTACCTTATACTTGAGTAGTCTCCATTAAAGCTCTCTACTCTTGTTAGATTCAAACATTCTCTTAACCCTAAGGCATAAATTTAATAAGAATTCAACTTCTACACAAATAAATCTTATATATAGAGCAATAATTTTTACCCCTTATTGCCTAGGATCAAAACTTTATTAAAATCCACTCAAAAGCCCTCAAAATCCTTGGAAAATTGAGCAAACATTTGAGAGAAAATGGAGAAGGAGAGTGGCGGTGGAAGGAGAGAAATAAGGGTTACAATTTTATAAACATACTTTCCCATTTTGCCCTTACACTTTTTTAGAAATTTCATCTATGTCCCTTAGTCAATTACCATAATGCCCTCATTTTTATTGCATTTTACATGAAATTCTTTCTCTTTTCACTCCCCACTTTTTTCAACTAATTTTGAGTGAAAAGACCATTTTACCCTTAATGCAAGTTTAAGACATTTTCTCAAAATAACTTTAGCAAAAATTAACTAAGGGCTATAAAAACATAATGTAAATTACATACTTCCGTGTGGGCGTTACAAATACTTTATTAATTATTTATCATATGTAATTATGTTATATAAACCAATATTAATCAAATTATATTATTTTTTCTAGTTGTCTATACAGTTGAGTTCCAGAAAAGATGACTTCCACATGCACATATATTGCTTTTTATGGCTGCTAAGTACAAGAATCCTCCAGCATAAAAAATAGATAATATGATCTCTGCTGAAATATCAGATAAAGAAAATGATCCTCTTGCTTTTACTGCTGCCGAGAACTGCCCATGTGGTGATGCAAATAAAAAATCCCCTTGCATGCAAAAAGGAAAATGTCAAAAACTCTTTGGAAAACAACAACTGTCGATGATGAAGGATACCCAGTATATAGAAGTTGGGATACTGGCGCATTTTTATTGAGAAAAAAGAAGTCAAATTGAACAATCTTTTTGTTGTTCCTTACAATAAGAATTTATTGATAAAGTCTTATGCCCACAGTAATTTCGAGATCTGTAATCAACATAGATCAATCAAGTATTTGTTCAAATACATCTACAAAGGGCTTGATAGAATTACAATTTATGTACAGCCAAATAACAATAGTGAAGCGAATTCTGAATCCAATAATGCTGGAATGGTGGACGAAATAAAAGCTTATCTTGATTGCAGGTATATCCAGTCAGATAACATATAATCTCATGGTATCATTTGTTATTATTTATTATAATTAAAACATTAATGAATTCAATATTCAAATTACATATACATATTTGCTATGGAATCTTGCTGGAGGATATTTCAATTTGATATCTATTACAGAGAACCGGCAGTTGAGAGATTACCATTCCACTTGGAGAACGAACAAATTGTAATCTTCGGTCTAGATAAGTGTTTAGTAACATATTTGGAAAGTAGAGCTGTTACACAGACTAAGTTAAAAGAGTGGATGAAATGCAATCAAGAATACCCTCAGGCAAGATCATTGACTTATTCTGATTTTCCAAGTAAATGGGTTTGGAATGCTACAGAAAGAAAATGGACTGAAAGAAAAAATGGAAAATGTATTGCATAATCTACTTTGCATACCCAAGTAGTGCTGAGAAATATTATCTACGAATGCTCCTAAATTTAGTTAAAGGAGCAACATCATTTGCAGCTATTAGAATTGTAAATGGAGAGATACACCCTACAATCAAAGATGCATGTTACACTTTAGGTTTGCTGGATGATGATAAAGAATGGAATGATTACCTAGACGAAGCATGAGTATAGGCTTCTGGAAGTTTGTTACGACAACTGTTTGTAACAATTCTGTTATTCAATGAAGTTGTTAGTCCTGCAGATTTGTGGAGAAAAAATGCAGTTAAGCTATCTGAAGATATGACATATATTCTCAAACCAAAAATGGGAATGCAAGCTGTGACATTCGGTGATGAACAACTATAGAATCATGCATTGATTGAAATTGAAGACTTGATTAAAAAGCGAGGGAAAACAATGGCTGATTTCCATAGAATTCCAATTCCAAATCGTTCTCAATTTGAGAGTACACAAAATAGATTAATTGTTGAGGAGATGAGTTATGACATTGATAGCAATATAAAATTGCACGATGATCTGTACAATGGTCTCAACAATGGGCAAAGAAATACATAGCGATACTCTATATATGAATAACCTCTATATAGTCATAAAAAGAAATACAGTAAAACCTCTCTATAGCGATACTTTATATAGGAATAACCTCTATATAATCATAAAAAATTCTAGTCCCAACTTGAGATATTTATAAATAAGAATAAACTTCATATTGTAATAAGTTATAATTTTTCTAATTCCCGTCTTAAGAAAATTGCCTCCACATAGTAATAATTATATGTATATTGCAAAAAAATATATGTTATGTTACATTAAAGGTTTAAGATGAAAAAAAAATTATCTAAAATTATTTGGATATTTATACTTTAGAGTTCTTACCACATCTTTTAATTTGCGGGTACGTTATAACTCGATAGCATGAACACCTTCTTGTTGAAGTCAAAATATTTATAGCTTCTCAAGCATGTTTAGAGCTTATTGGAGCAAAACTTTTTGTATTTCTGTACTATCATCCTCAGGATAATGTCTTTTCTCTTCTAGTCTATTGTAGCAATGACTATTAAAACAATAAATTGAAATCCTAATACATAATACTAAAACGTGAATTATAAAATAAGAAATCAAAACAATAATTTTTGTAACTACACCTCTATTAAGTTATAACCTCCTTATAGTAATAAATTAATTTGATCCTACTATTATGACTATAGAGAGGTTTTACTGTATATATTATTCAGTCATGGATTCAGTTGAAGATAAAAAAGGTACAACTTTTTTTGTTTACAAGCACGATGGAATAGGCAAGATATTCCTATGGTCAACAATAATAAGCAAATTACGATCTAAAGGCAAAATTGTACTTCTTGTTGCAACTTCAGGAATTGTTGCATTGTTGTTACCAGAAGGAAGAACAACACATTCATGTTTTCGAATACCTTTAGATATCACTGACAAGAGTACATGTGATATTAAAAAAGGCACGCAATTGGCAGATCTCATTCGGAAAATGTCTTTGATAATTTGGGATGAAGCACCTATAGCAAATAGGTATTGCTTTGAAGCTCTTGACAGATCATTGAAAGATAAGGATGACCAATCAAATGTTGAAAAGATGTTTGGAGGTATGACTGTTGCTCTTGGCGGCGATTTTAGACAAATTTTGCCTGTTATTCCAAAAGGAAAAAAATTCGATATAATGCAAGCAAGTTTATGTTCATCTTATCTTTGGGAAAATATAACAGTGTCGAAACTTACAGAAAACATGAGATTGAAGAAAAATGACAGTAGCACTGCAGATTTGGATGAGATGTTTGCTTTTGACAAATGGTTACTTCGTATTGGAAAAGGAACAAGCGTATCAGAAGATGAAAGCTTGTTACAAATTCTAGATGACTTAAATCTTACTGTAGATTGCACTCCACAAGAGACCATTCTCAATGTTGTTTTCCGAGGTCTATGTGATCAGACAGAAAATGTTGAGTATATAAGGGAGAGAGCAATTCTTACAGCAAAAAATGACGTAGTTCATGAATTTAATGAGTATATTATTCAGACGTTGCCATCAGAAGGAAGACATACTACAGTTCGAATACAACTTGCAAAGCAGGAGGAATGTCAAATGATGATGATGTCCTATATCCAATTGAATTCCTAAACACCTTGATATGCTCCGGTATGCCGACACACGAATTAAAGTTAAAAATTGGGGTTCCAATCATGTTACTATGTAATTTGAACCAAGCAAATGTCTTTGCAATGGCACAAGATTAATTGTAACCCATCTAGGAAACTGGTTTATACAAGCAGAGATTATTATAGGATCAAATATTGGGCATAATGTTGTGATTCCAAGAATAGTAATGTCCAATGCAGATACGAGGTGGCCCCTTAGATTGAAAAGAAGACAATTGCCAATTGCAGTTGGCTTTTGCATGACAATCAACAAAAGCCAAGGCCAGTCTTTGAAAACAGTGGGGTTATACATGAAGCATCAGGTATTTACTCATGGACAATTTTACGTTGCTGTATCAAGGGTAACTTCAAGAGAAGGGATCAAGATCTCATTGGTGCAACAAGAAGAAGAAACATAAGACAAATTACAAAACATTGTTTTCAAAGAAGTGTTCGACAAAATACAAGGATAGATATACTGCTGAATCTGTAATTGTACAAAAATTACCATACCAAAAGTTGATTAAATATTACAAACAACAATTACACATCATTTTCATTTCTATAGACTGTAACACAAACTTTGCTAGAAAAAGAAGGGTCTTCCTTCAAAACAACATTCTCTAAAAAGTTGGAGTCTTCGTTTGGATATTTCAATTTGAATGCATTTGCACAAGCTTTTCTAGTGGCCACATACATATCCGTCACAGTGTCACAAGCCTCTTCCTTTTCTTTTTCAGCTTCAACAAGTAAAGATTTTATCTTAGAAATCTCATCACACAATTCCTTATTCTTTTTTTTGAGGAGTTCATTTTCTTCCTGTTGAATTGCAATTTTCTATTCAGCACTTTTAAATGCATCGTCACAACGTCTCAAATCATGTTCAACTTTATCTAAGCTCTCCTTTTTAATTTTACGGTTCTCAGAGATTATGAACTCGTTTTGTTGCTTCAAATTTGAGGCCACGGCTTCTGCAGCTACCACCATTCCCTGACTTCTAACATAACATCATGACCCTATTTCAAATAATTCAAACCAAAAAATAAAAATAAAATTAATATCAGAATATTAAAAATATTACAAATGATTATCTTAAATAAATAGTATCAAAAAATATACGTCTGGCCACACTACAAACTATATTATCTAAATCTTTAGCAGGCAAAGCTTTAAAATTAATGTCAGGTTTCCGATCAGCACTCTTTGGTTGATATGTTTTCTGCCGCTTTATCAATCTACATAATGGAAGCTCTTTTGTATCATTATCTTTTTCTTCAATCAATTCGACATGACATGAACCAGAAGCAGGTGTAACAGGATTAGACACTGATATAGAAGAATCACAGCTCTGTAATTTATTTAATAACTTCGTGCCTGATTCATCCATTGTTACTCCCTTAGATGCATTTCTAACTTCAAGTCTACGAACAAACTTCATCAAATCCTTAGGAGCCATATCTACGATCTAAAATATCATGTTATTAGACACGAAAAAGAAAAATCAAATTAGTCATCAGCAAATAACAAACCATTCATTCCACTGAAAATTCGTTTCACCAATTTACAAATATATAAATAACTAACAAGTAATTATAAAATACAACGGAATAATACCGATAATAAAACCAATCAACAACAATTAAAAAAAATTAATCTGAATTAACGAACATCACAATTTACCCACAACATATGAAGATATAAAATAATTACAAACTATTTAAAATGTCAAATTTCTACCTGATTATCTCTTGAGCATTTAGTCAAACACTTTGTCTACAAACGCAAAACAAAATAAAGACAGCAAATACCATTGTGAATGAAATATTTAACGTTGCCAATATATTATGAAATAAGATTCCCAGGAACAATAAACTGCAATTAAAAAAAAAAATAGTGAAAGAGATGTTAAAAAGTTTGGGGTTATGTCGTTGACATTGCAAAGAAAAATTCTAATCAGGAAGTCAAAAATTGATACACGATGACCTAAATTCAAATTCTTATTTTAAACATGATCAACTCCATAAACGGTAACGTTTTATTGACTTAAAATTTTAATAATGAAAACAACAACGGATTATTCAGTTACTGGTTATACAAAACAAAACGTTTCATAATAATAATAATAAAAAAATCAACATTAATGACCAACAACATAAAATGCAAATCATTTACAGAAAAAAATAACAATATGTAAAAAATAACCAAACTAGAATTTAAAATTAAAAAATAAATAAATTCTACCTAATCTAATGCATTAATTACATAATAAATATAATATTTCATTGCAATGCAATTTGATATTTCCTTATATTTCCTACGGATAGTTAACAGTATTAATGCATGTTTTAATAACAATTTATATAAATCATTAGTATAATTTCTTTATAATAGTAATTATTCTATAAAATATATAATAAACAAAATACATTTATCAATATACGAAATAAACTCATTAAATGCTTAAAAAAATATTAATTACAGTTATCAGTTTTCAGAAATACTAAATGTCATGTTTAATTCAAAATAATATAACGATTATTCAGTATCAACTTAAAAGTTATATAAACAAGAATTGACACAACAACAGCATAATGTTACAAACATTTAAACAAAAGAAAAAATCATCATGACTAACCAAATTTCACCAGCACAGAGAACAAATTTCTTACAACTACCACAAGAAATACTGTAGCAAATTATCGTTAAAGTAACTAAGAATAGCAACAAAACTCTACAAGCAGTTCGTTTGACGCAAGTATTACTAACATGCAGAATATTGATTATTATATATTGCTATCTACAATTCATGTTTCCCTTGTCTAACAAATTGCAAATGCAATTTTCTATACACACAATTGGACGTAAAGCAAGTCTTGCATAAAAGTAACATCTTTAAACAAAGACACAAACTACTGGAAATTACACTAGAGGGACTTTCAATTTTAAAGATCTTGGCAAAGGTAGAAACGTTTTGTTACTTCTTGGAACACATTTAGTATTCATCAAACATGATGTATACACAGGTATACCTATGCTAGTTGTAGCCTGCAAAACAAAAACCCTGTAATCACTATATATTTTCGTAATTGCTTTGCTAAAAATATATGATAACAACAATATACAAGTTCTCCTCAAATTGGTGAAACAACCAAACTCTTTTGACTAGATGAGAAACCTTCAAATCCATGACGCCAACATCAAAAATTGTCCTTAAGCAAAGAATATTAGGAACTTACAATAAAGATGATGAAAATATTGTACACTGGGACAGAACAACAATACCACAAGATATCACCTGCAAAAGATGTTCTGTGGACTATGAAATAGTATGTGTTAAATACAATTTGTAATAGCAAACAAAAAATAAATTAAATGTCAGCTACTAAACTGGAAAAAAAACTGTGTAGCAAACTATTTTGCTGAAAGCTTTCAAATGAACATGCCGAACAATTTATTTGGGAACATCCGAGTTTAACAAATATGTGTAACAAACAATTTAGTCATAGCTATTAACACTATTCTATGACGGCTATGACGATTAACATTGACAACAATTGAAATCCCTGAACGAAATAGAGAAGCAACAGGAACAAAATAATAATAGTAAAACAAAATAAACAGTAAACAAAGAAATTATACGCGCGATTTACCCTGGTTTACCCAATGTGGGCTACGTCCAGCTGAGTCAATATTATTGAAATATGCCTCACCTCTCTCGTTTACAATGAATGAATTGCTCTCACGCTCATAACAAGAGAAAAGTATGTTTATATACTAGGTTTAAGAGATTAAACCTAGTTTTACAAGAATTCCTATTTCTAAGCTCAACCCAAAAAGGAATTAATAACTTAAAAGGAATCCTACAGCGGTTATACATGGAAAAGCCCAAAACCGCCTACGGGCTCGGGGGCGCTGCCCCAGCGACCCCCGCTCGCTCACCGGGGAGCGGGGCACCCGCCCGCTCACCGGGTAGCGGGACCCCCGAGTGCGTCTCCGTTACCCATTAATGCTGAAGTAGTCGACAACTCCAACAATCCCCGTGTGAACAAATTATTTGTCAACTACTAAACTGGACAAAAACTGTGCAATGAACTATTTTACTGAAAGCTGTTATCACTATTTGCTCATGCATGTGCCCAACAAAATTATCATAATATTGATATCGACTATACTATAGAATAATCATCACTCACGAAAAGCCGAACAATACTGCCAGTGAAAAAGCCTATAAACTTACTAATGCAATACATTATTTTATTATTTATTATAATATAGCAAAAATATAAACCACTGTTTCATTTACTATTGATTGTTTAACAAAATAAACGAATTTATAACAACCTAATAATTAAAACATCAGATAAAATAATACTTTACCATAATATGATTACATTGCACAAATTTTATACACATATTCTTTTAAAAAGAAAAAAATAATAATTGAATATATATAAATACATAGACATAAATATGTAGTTGCGATATTAATTACTGAATCTATATTATTAATAATTCAAAAGTCGTATTCATATTAAATAGTCAAATTCAATTGCACATTATCCGAACAGCTGCTTTAATCATCAATAACAATTATATTCCTTAATAAACAGTTGCCTATTTGCATTATGACTGTCCGTATTATTTGTTTATGAAATGTCATTCAATAATATTTATATCTATTTAAGGATAATCAAATGGACTCTATAATTCATCCAACAAGTCATACAACAGTAACAAATGGCAGATAGAAGACCAATGATTAACAATCCAGAGGCCAAGAAAGCAAGAACACACGGTAAATAACGTTGAATAATTTCTCTTATATTTTTCCTATACGTCTACCCTGGTATCTTTATATGTCAACTTTAATAAATTAACACAATTTCATTGTTTCATCTTATCAGTTGAAGGAGCCATGTCAGACAGACAGGTTGACCTAAGAGAGATTCTGCAAAAGGTTAAAGCCAACTTGGAAAAACTGAA